TTTATAAACGAGGCACAGTAGGAGATTAGCACCAACTAATAATAAAGTAGAACAATAGAGCAATTTATTGTAGCAAAAGTTATGTGAATGTGATCTCTCTGTCTCTCTCAAAATGTCTTATTGTGTTGTACTCACCTATTTTCAGATTGTAGTTGACTGAGGGCAACTGAAACCACAGATAAGGAGACTATGGTGTTTGTTTAGAATTGTATTTTGGGGTTTTGCAGTAAACTTAATTGCTCATTTTCTGAATTAGAGGGAAACTCATGCAAACTCCTAAGAAAGAATTTGCCTTTTTTGTGTGCACATAAAAACACTACACTTGCCTTATTTTGGAAGTATAAGCTGTCGAGGGTAAGAGTTAGCTTTATATTTGTTTGGCTAGCCTCCTGATTTCATACTGATTTAATTAAATATTTGATCTTAATTAAGACAGGGGATATAGTTAATGTGCAAGTGATAATGTGGTTTCATTTAATGATTCTTCATGTTTGCCTATCAAAGGATTTATTTCTTTCTTTTAGAAGAGTTAGGTCTGTATGATAAATTGTAGTTTAGGGATGGGAGTGTAAGCAAATGCCTGATTTTGTTTTTGGATTGAAATGACAATTATATAATTCAATTCAATCGTTTTTTCCTTCTCTACTATTCAGCTCTTATAATGCACACGAACGCAACAAAGCAGTCAGTGTGGTGTTTCACCATTTAAGTGTGACTGGTGGTACCTCAGAAATAAGATTTTCTGGTAAATTATAAAAGGTATAAATGGCTTAATAAAATCACATTTCTGAATCTTACAAAATATCCATTAACACCTTTGTCTAGGGGGTTCTCCATGACTTTTAAAGGATGATAGAGGGTTAAGTCTCTACTGTCACTAAAGTTTTTTCTTTGTTGAATAAATGACTAACACATTGACTCTCTCATTTCTATGACACATCATCAGTTCTGGACTTGGTAGCAGTATGCTCATCATCTCATCTTGTGTTTTACACTCAGTTTATTGTAATGCTTAGATGCTATAATGCCACAGATATTTGGGGGGAAGGGATGACATAATAGGACTTAAAGAGAATGCCTTCATTATGATAATTTGCATCATGAGATAATTGACCTACCTTTGTATTGTATTTATTTCTCCTTTTGCTTGGTGGCTTTTTGAATTTTCAATGTTTAAGAAAAATTATAATATGTACTAAGATATCCTTTTATAGGCCATGTTTATAGATTTTTTAATATCACAAATACTTTATATATATACATATATATTTTATTGCATTTTAGGTTTTGGGGTACATGTGAAGAACATGCAAGATTGTTGCATAGGTACACACATGGCAGTGTGGTTTGCTGCCTTCCTCCCCATCATCTATATCTGGCATTTCTCCCCATGCTATCCCTCCCCAACTCCCCATCCCCCGCTGTCCCTCCTCTAGTTCCCACCCCCACAGATCCCATTGTGTGATGCTCCCCTCCCTGTGTAAAATACATCTCTTATATCTTCATATAAAATTATCACACAAAAATAACTTGGTATAAATGTATCTGTAAAACTTTCTGAGTGTCTTCATCTCTTAATCTTCTCTTCCACATGTAGTATTCAGGTGTTTTTATTGACTTTTACATTTTCATTTATTTTTATATATTTTTTAACATCTCCCAAACTTAGGAATCCATTCACTTTTGATCTGAGCATACCTTAATTCATTCTAGCTTAGCCACTATTCATCTCAAGAAACTAAAATCTCCATGTCATATTTTAGTTGTTGCTGTAGCTTATAAACCCCACCTGTAGAATGTCATCCATACTCTGTTACTTATTAATCTCTTTTTGCACCCCAAAGTAACAGATTCTTTTTGGTGACTTATCACATAGTAACTAAAAACTAATGTTTATCACTAGTAAATAAAATCACTTTGATTTTAACTTTTTGTTTTTTTAAATTTTCAGGCCACACGTGTTTCACATTGACAGTTTTGCTTGGGACGCTAGTAACCATGGGCTGGCTGGCTTAGCCAAAGAAGAGTAAAGAAGAAAATGCACACAAGTGCACAGACCGTTTCTAGTTTCTTAGACCTCTTTGCAGATTGGACACAATAAATGCAGTCGTGCTCTTCATTTAGGATGCTTTCATTGTCTTTCAGGTGTTTTAAGAATGTCAACCAAGCAGAGAAAAGAGGCAGTCTCGGATTCGCATTCTGAGCACACCCACGCCTCTTGAAAACAGAACACCTTGCAGAACTGAGAGTGATTCCATTCCTAAAAGTGTAGGAAAGCATAGAGATTTGTTCGTATTTAGAATGGGAGCATGAGGAAAAGAAAAGTGATTTTTTTCCCCACAAGATCTGTAATGTTATTTATACATTACAGAAATAAAAGAAATAAAAAATGAAAAACATTATTTGGATATCAAAAGCAAGTAAAACCCAATTCAGTCTCTTCTAAGCAAAACTGCTAAAGAGAGATGAACCACATTATCAAGTAATCCTGGGCTGTAAGGCATTTTCATCTTTTCTTATGGGTTGGCAAAATATTTTAAAGGTAAAACATGCTAGTGAACCAGGAGTGTTGATGGTGACAAGGGAGGGATATAGAACGAAAGACTGAGTCTTCCTTTATTGCACAAATACAGTTTGGAAGACGCCTGTGAAAGGTGTCTTCTTTGACTTAATATCTTTAAAAGTATCCAGAGATATTACAATATTAACATAGGAAAAGATTCTTATTTCTGAAGTCAGATGTCAAATTTGTAAATCTTATTCTTTTGTAATATTTATTTATATTTATGACAGGAAACATACTGATTTTACATGTAAAATAAGAAAAGTTGAAAGGTGTGTAAAGAAAAATTTATTTTCCCCAAATAGAAATAAATGGTCCCATATTTTGGTCTTATTTAGTATTGAAATGTATTCTTAAATGCGACTACTTTATTTCTAAATAGGAGATACCCTACCTGCCTCCTACAAGCAGTTCAGAATGCTGTCCCTTGGTTGTACTAGTGTGAATAATTTTCAGTTACTTTAAAATTATACTATATTGTACCTTCTCAAGCTTGTCATATCCTTTCCTATTAGAGAGCCTATATTCCTTGTTACTGATTCACCTGAAGGCAATCTGACTAATTTCTAGGTTCTTACCATATTCGTGCTGTCTTGCCAATTACATTTTAAATGTTAGACTAGACTAAGTGGTACTAGTTGTACAGAATATAACCAGGTTGATTTTAGCAATGTTTATTGTGTCATTTTGCTTCATCTGTTTTGTTGTTGAAGTACTTTAAATTCATATATTTCGTGGCATTTCACTGAAAAGACTTTAATTTATTTCTCAAAATAATTTTTTTCTCCTAAACCACAGTCATCACAACTAGCAGTACTAACAATCATTTCCTAATAGTTTCTAATACTAGGAAATTCTTTGGACTTTCCTAGAAGTTCTAAGAGTAGGTACGTATCCACCTATTCATTCATTCATTTGTTAAATATGAGGGCCTACTCTGCTCTTTAGTAACCTGGTGCTTCCTAGGATAGCAGTGGTAACACTGGCTCAGCTATTCAGAAAAAAAGCTGAGTGCCTCCTATGTGTAAGTTGCCATATGCTAAATATGAGCTTACCAAGATAACTACAAGTGTCTGCCCTCAAGTTGCTTATAGTTTACTACAGGAAGCCCAAACTCTATATTTATTGAGAGATGGAAGGTAAAGTTATAAGTGTTACAGCCCTGAATATAATGAGTGCTGAAGCTGTGTTTGTTAAGCAGCTGAGTGGCAGGGAGGGAGACATTCCAGACAGGACGGGATTGAGAAAACACTAATAGATGAGATTACAATGGCAGGATGGTCGTAGTAGGAAAGGCTTGGAGTACGGGCTAGACTATGTCATGTGCTCTGTGTAGAAGTGAAAGTTATAAGCTCTAGACTATTCTGCTTGATCGAATTAGAATCAGTGAGCATAAAATAGGTTTGTAATAGCGAGAACTTGCTCTCTTATTTAGATAAGGTTAAAAGCAGAAATACTATTTAACAGTCATTTACCTTGAAGAAAATATTCACAATAGGCTTGCTGAGGGTAAAGACACTTTCTTATAGGATTTATATTTACTGTGTATCCCCTTTTGCTCAAGGTAAGCTCTCCTTTGAGATTTGACTTTGATTGCAAAGGTTGTATTGCATTTCCTCTTGAGACTGATGTGTATTTGTTACAGCAAGTTATACCCGCTCACTGTAGAAATTTGAGTGTTATAATATTTAGCCCACTATCACTGTCACTATTCTAGGAACACTTGAACGTGAATAGTTTTTCTCTTATCACACCCTAGCCCTGTTTGCTTTGGTTAATGCGCAATGTGCAAATGCCTCATTTTCCTCCCACCTGTCCTGAGTGTTTCTTCCTTCTTGACGAAACTAAAAACAACCACTTTCCTGAAGGTACTGCTTCCTTTGCAGCCTATTTCAGTGGTGACTGGTTTCTTTTTATACATATGACTCATTGTTAAGAGGTGGTAAAGGTGTTTTCCTTGTTTCTCATTGTCATGTCTTCCATCTCAGTCCTCCCACACAACCCTTTAAAAAGAGTAACTGTCCACTCTGGTAGGGTAATTTACTAAAATGTCAAATGTTTTCCCTATAATTCCCCTTAGTGAAGAGCGTGGATTCTGGAGAAAAATAGGAGTCCTGGCATTTCTCAGCTTCAGGAGTTGAGGAATGTTTCTTGTCAATGTACCTTGGTTATCTATGTGTAAAATGGGCCTAAAATCAGTACCAGCCTCATAGGATTGCAACGAGAATTAAGTTAATACACATAGAGCTTAGAATAGTGCCAGCCACGGAGTAAGTGCATAGTAAGTTTTAGCTCTTTTCAGTGCACGGGTGGAGAGATTGGCCTTAGATGAAAGCATGTAGGACTTCTGTAGATACGGAGGGAACTGTTGCAGGTGAGTTGGAGATGCCCATGGTGGTAGCTTTTGGAAATTTTCACATTTCTTCTGTTTTCTCAGGGACATATACATCAAGGTCATTATGAAAATGATGACACATGAGGAGGTGGTGTGTTTGAAGAGAGGAAGAGAAGGAAAGGACTAGAGACATTTAGTAAATTATCAGGCAATGTGAAAGGCCCAGTTGAGGTAAGTGCTCCTGAATTTTGAGTGCAATCAACAAGCTTGGTTCTGAGTTTTTCTGCAGTCATATGTAGCTTTCTAGATACAGTCTCAGAAAAAAGCAGTTCCTCAGATTTAATCGTGAGTGGGTGTTCCCAGGTGAATTTGATGACGTGAGTTGAGCATGTGCATAAGGGAGTGATTAAAATGATGGACCACAGAATTTAAGCTATGTGAGAAGGGAAGTGAAGACCTATGAGTGGTAAGAAACAATGAGTGACAGGATCAGTATTTTGTAGGCCTCAATGGAGCCATGTCATCGTTACTTGGGGTGCTATTTAGAGTGAACTGGAATGGTAATATGCAGTAGTGAGAACTAAGAATGCCTCAATTGAGAGTAAAACAGAATTGGTGACCAGAGGACAAAGCTGTCTACAAATACAGTTCCCCTTCATTTTGGGCACAAAGTTAGACACATTTCCTGCCACCCTTGCAGTTAAGTGTGGACATAGGACTGAGTTCTGGCCAAAGGAACATGATCAGAGATGTGTGGCATTTCTAGGTCTGGCCCTAAAACATTCCCATATGCAATCCTCCTTAACTCTTTCCCTACACTGAGCTGATGAAGGTGAGTGCAGCAACCTAATAATTCACATGCTAAAGATAACCACAAAAAGGAAGGAGCTTGAGTCAGTGCTTTGAGGAGAGCTGTCTGCTGATCAGGACCACCCACTTTAAACTTCATGTGAAGAAGAAATAAACTGTCATACATGAGTTCTAACATCTTTGAGATTGATGTGTTATGTTATTGTAGTTGACATTAAACTAAAGCCTTCTAGATTTTCATGATGCAAGGATTTAGACAGAACTATGGTGTGAGAAGTTGAAGTAAAATGGTGGACAAAAGTATTGGGGTAGAGGAGACCATGGAACATCTTAATTGATACTGAAATCAAGAAGCATCTTGTGTTAGAGAGTGTTACTTGCCAGGGACTAAAATCTTCAAGAAATGAGATAGAGTGGTTTGTATATCTGAAGATGACTGCAAACAAGAAGATAGCAGGTGCTACATTCTGATGACATGTGACTCGAAGGAAAGGTTTTGTGGAAAGGAAGGGGGATTGGCCTACAAATAGCAATGATCAATCAAATAGGGCACCAGCTTTACCTCTATGCTTGGTAGTATGTGGAGTGAAAGAGCAGTGACAGAGATTTTTGCCTACCAGAGATTTGTGTGGACATTCAAACCCACTGTATGATCTTCCACTCCTTGTTATTGCAATCCCCCTACTTTCTGGTCACCTCTCTCTGTCTGCTGAGGGCTTTGGAACCTGGCTCAGTGTCTCCCAGCCATCCTACAATCTGGTATTATCCGTAATTACTTCACATTGACAAGGATGACTCCTTATAACACACCCATGCCTCTGGTTTTATTGACCTTTTGATTTCTAATAACCTCCTTCACTTTACCTGAGTCACTCATCTCCATGGAACCTTCTTAAATCACTAATTCAGGCATATTTTTTGGCTCAATATAATCTTTTCAGCTTTGTAGTTTAGTTACCCCAGTGTGTTCATCAACTCTCCACTTTCTTCCTATTTATAAGTCTCCTACTGTGATAGATATTTTGTTTTCTCATCCAGAAGCACACTCTAGCATACACCAACTTGCTGTGACCTGAGGCTGACCTATAATGGAAGCTGTGGAGGGGAGAGGAGTTGCATTCCTTCTAATTCTTGTTTTGTTTCAAAACACTCCACAACTTTTTTTTTCTACCGTTCTATTATCAAAGGATGGCTCTCCTTCCCTTTTGCCCTCCTCTTTCAGAAGCTACACTTTCAAAGGCTATCAACTCAGATCACATTATATTTATGCCCCTTTCCTAAAGGTAGTGCATGTAGTTAGTGCTCTGGTCTACAAGGACACCTTTTCAGCATTTTCATTTACAGCAGACTCTTACTTTCTGGCAGTGGTTCCGGAGCAATCTGAGGACTGTGTTAGGACAGCTTTTTTCTCTTTCATAAAGTCTTTCCATAGACTACCCTTGCTGACCACAGAGGCTTCTAGGAGCAGTGTGAAAGACTGCTGGATTGTTTTTGTTTTGTTTGTTTTCTTATAGGCAATTTGAAGTTGGTGCTTTGTCTTCTAGTTATGTTGACAGTGTGGTTTTTGTATGACCACACTTTCTGTTGGGGTGGCTGTAGAAAATTAGATGTTTTTATATGTTATTGATGGGAATGCAAACTCGTACAGCCATTTTATAAGGGAATTTTCCAGTATCTAAAAAAATATACATATGTATTTACCCTTTGACCTACCAATCTCACATCTAGAAATGAACTCTGAAGCTATACCTTCAATAATATGAAAATATACAGGTATAAGATTACTCATCAGAACATTATCATAGCAAAAGACTGGAAACCATCTAAATGCTCATATGTAGAACTTGCTGAATAAGCTATGTTATATCCAAACAGTGGAGTACTATGCAGCTATGAAAAAGAATGGGGAATACTATGAAGTATTATGAAATATTTCTAGTATATATTATTTATTTATTTATTTATTTCGGTAGAGATGGGGTTTCTCCATGTTGGTCAGGCTGGTCTTGAACTCCCAACCTCAGGTGATCTGCCAGCCTCAGCCTCCCAAAGTGCTGGGATTACAGGAGTGAGCCACCATGCCCAGTCTCAGGATAATATATTATTAAGTGAAAAAAGTAAAGTACGAAAGACTATGGTATGCTCCTTCTCATGTAAAAAAGAAATAGATACATGTCCTCTTTGTGCAAAAGGAAACATAGGAAGGATAAACTAGAAACAATGAGATAGTTATATACAAGGTATGAGTGGAAACAATGGGGAAGATGGGAATTGTTTTTGTTTTGTCTCACATATTACAAAGCCAAGTAAATATAAGGAATGAAAATAGGAAGGGAGGGGAGAGAAGAAATTACAACAGAATACAAACACAACAAATGAACCTTGTTATTACTATTATTATAATTTTTTGAGATGGAATCTCACTCTGTCATCCAGGCTGGAGTCCAGTGGTACAATCTCAACTCACCATAACCTCCACCTCCCAGGTTCAAGCAATTCTCCTGCCTAAGCCTCCCAAGTAGCTGGGATTACAGGCACGTGCCACCATATCCAGCTCATTTTTATATTTTTAGTAGAGATGGAGTTTTACCCTGTTGGCAAAGCTGGTCTCAAACTCCTGACCTCAAGTATTCTACCTGCCTCGGCTGCCAAAGTGTTGGATTTTACAGGCGTGGACCACCACACCCGGCCTCTTACTGTATTTCAAATGAATAACTTGACCACAGTTAAGAGGGAGCTGTGAGGTAGAATTGAATTAACCTTGGAACACAGTATTTTGATTATACAACCGAGGGCTAAATAAAAATAATATGAACAAGTGTTGGATTCTGTCCAGTAGGTTCGTTTTTCATAGTAATATAGCTTAGCAATTTCAACACTACTTTATGTGCATTCGAAGGTGGGGTAGATAAGCAAATATATTGCAAATAATGAGTCAGGTTTCTCACTGTTGAAGGGAATTACAAATAAGGGAACACTAGCACAGAGTCTGTGGTATTTGTAATTTGAGTTACCAGTATAAACTCATGATTTTGAACATAAAAACATACACAGAGAAACACACCCCCCCACACACACACACGAGTGTGCATATCTGTATTAGGTTCTCCAAAGAAACAGACCAATAAGATTATATATATATATATAGACATAGGAAGAGATTTATTATGGAAATTGGCTCAGGCAATTATGGAGACCTAGAAGTCCCATGATATTGCCATCTTCAAGCTGGAATACCAGGAAAGCTGGTGGTGCAATTCTGAGACTGAAGTCTTGAGAACCAGGGGAGTCGATGGTGTAACTCCCAATCTAGGGCTTAAGGCCCAAGGACCAGGGGCTGCTGGTGTGCAGATACAAGTCCTGGAGTTCAAAGGATTGAGAAGCAGGAGTTCTGATGTCTGAGGGCAGTAGAAGATGGACGTTCCAGCTCAAGAAGAGAAGGTAAGAATTCGTCCTTCCTCCACTTTTTTGTTCTATTCAGGTGAGCCCTCAATGGACTGAATGATGCTCACCCACAATGCGAGGGCTGGTCTTCTTTACTCAATCCACTGACTTAAGTGCTCGTCTCTTCTGCAAACACCTTCACAGACATACCCAGAAATAATGTTCTACCAGCCATGGGCCTGTCACTTAACCCAGTCAGGCTGACACAAAAAATTAGCTATCACAACATCTGTGTGTGTATATGCATGTATGTTGTGGCTGTGTGGATATATACACATACATATACATTATATATAAACTATTTCAATATATTTTGCATGTTAATGTAAAATATATTAATATACATTATATGTAATATATAAATTATATACTTATAACTGTTTTGTGTTGTGTATATTATATATGCTATATGTATTATATACTTTTTGCATATACTTATATAAATATATATATAATATGTCTTCTTGGAAAAGCCTACAAACAGACCCCAGATTCAGATTTTTTTTTTTTTTTTTGAGGCAGTCTCACTTTATCACCCAGGCAGGAGTGTGGTGGCATGGTCTTGGCTCACTGTAATCTGCCTCCTGGGTTCAAGCAATTCTCCAGCCTCAGCCGTCAGAGTAGCTGGGATTACAGGCACACACCACTACGCCTGGATAATTTTTGTATTCGGATCCAGATTTCTAAATACCTTTCTCCAGTTAAAAAAAAAAAAGGAGGCCGGAGCGGCCAAGATGTCACAGCCCAAGAAAAGAAAGCTTGAGTCTCGGGGGTGGTGGCGAAGGAGGGGAGGGAACTGAAGAGGAAGATGGCGCAGAGCTGGAAGCGGCCCGGAGCGACCCGGGAGGACTAAGCAGCTGTACTACCAGTGCTACTCGGACGTTTGCGTCCAGGAGGAGATGATCGCAGACCGCGTCCTCGCCGATGCCTACCCTCTGGACCTCCTGCGGAACTGCGCAGCACTGCAAAGCAAAACGGTACTGGACATGGGCGCGAACAGCGGCCTTCTGAGCATCTTGTGTGCCCAGGCCGCGCCCGCCGCGTAAACGCCAGCGCCATCTGGTAACAGGCCCGGGAGGTGGTGCGCTTCAACGGGCTGGAGGACCGGGTGCACGTCCTGCCGGGCCTGGTGGAGACTGTGGAGTTGCCGGAGCAGGTGGCTGCCATCGTGAGCGAACGGATGGGCTACGGACTCCTGCACGAGTCCATGCTGAGCTCTGCCCTCCACGCGCGAACCAAGTGGCTGAAGGAAGACCGTCCTCTCCTGCGGCCTCCGCGGAGCTCTTCATAGCCCCTGTCAGCGACCAGATGCTGGAGTGGCGCCTGGACTTCTGGAGCCGGGAGAAGTAGCACTGTGGTGTAGACATGAGCTGCCTCCTGGGCCTCTCGGGGATCATGGTGCAGGGACTCTCCGGCGAGGATTTGCCGGCCCGGCCGCCGCGTCCCGGCACGGGCCTGGCTCAGGAGCTGGAGGGCGGAGTGGGCAGGCGCCTCTGCTGCAGCTGCTGTGGCTCCGCTCCCATGCACGGCTTTGCCAACTGGTTCCAGGTGACCTTCCCTGGAGGGGAGTCGGGAAATCCCTGGTGCTGTCCACCTCGCCTTTTCACCTGGCCACGCACTGGAAACAGGCGCTCCTCCACCTGAACGAGCTGGTGCAAGTGGAGCAAGAAACGGACGTTTCAGGAGAGATCACGCTGCTGCCTTCCCGGGACAACCCCCGTCGCCTGCGCGTGCTGCTTCGCTACAAAGTGGGAGACCAGGAGGAGAAGACCAAAGATTTTGGCATGGAGGATTGAGCGTTGTCTTTTCTCCCAGCCACCTCCCAAGGCAGAGAAAGGGAGATCCCACGTGCAAATAGAAAAAATATGTGTCTCCCTTTTCCCTCATAGCCTCTGGGGAGGGAGAGTGACTTCATTCTCCTTTGAAAACATTCTCCTGGTGATGTTTATTTAGAAAGTGATCCCCTTCGACAAGCGATACAGCGTGCTTATTAATGGGCTTTTAGGCCTCAAAATCCTGTAGTACCAAGCACTTGTATTTCCGTATATTTTGTCTCTCAGGAGTGGGAAAGGGGAAGAACACGGATGAAAATGTCAGTTTTTGGAAAGGTCCATGCACATCCCTGACACTTCACACCTTATCTAAGTCTGAAGCTGGAGAGAAAGCGTTCATTTAGACTTCATCAATTTCCAGTACGACTTTAGTATCTCTCCAGAGCCTCGCCCAAGGGCTTACTCATCACTATGGGTAAGTTATTTAAACTCACTGAAGGAAGATATTCTCCCAGCTAGAAAAATGTACTCGTTCTCATTTAAACGCTCTCATTTGGAGGGATTATGTGAGTTGGCCTACTTAAAACTGTGAAAGTTCCCTTTTTTTGTTTTTGTTTTGTTTTGTTTTTTCTGTTTCACTCAGCCAAATGTGAAAGTTGTGAGTTTAGGAAAATCAGTTGTAATAAAGCGTAAATCATATTATCAAATTTATTTTGCTGATGTGTCCCTCCTTATCCTTGTAGCAAATAAAACACTGACATTCTCACATTTTGTAGATGAAGAAGTCTTGTGCGCTGAGTTATAATGCTTTTGCCTTTTTAATATTGTCAGTTCTTAAGTGTTACAATCCCTTCAAAATATAACTTCAGGACAATTCAAACTATGCTTAATTTATGGTTTTTGAGCTGCTGTATGCTAAGAAAATAGATGTGAAAAACTGGTGTTCTGAAATAGCCTAACGTTTATTGTAATTCTGAGTTTTCTGCCTTTTTATTCATTGCATATAAGAGTATTAAAAAAAAATAGGGCTCCTGGAAGAAATGGCTGATCTCTAGGCTAGGGTAGGGAAAGTAAAAGATGAGCCTGGAACATCTTGTGATATCACAAATTAAGTGTTTTAAAAATAAGTACAGAAAAAATGATAGTGACATGTCAAATGGATTCAGAAGTCAACATGAACAAGCTCCCACTGACCAAATCTGAAACAATTACAGCAAATAAACAAATATTGATGGCAGTGGATCATAGCACATAGAATAAAAAAAGAATTTGAGTCCATGCTGGTATAAATGAATAAATAAAGAAAAGAAAGTCGCCTTTTTTATAGCAAGATTCCAATGATCTGCATGTAGAACAAATGATGCAATTAGAAAGTCAGCATTTGGCAGCCATCCCAGCATAATTATTTCAGGCAAGAATCAATGGATGCTAAATTAGTAAAAGTCTGATGGGAAGTAGATAATTATAGTCTTCAATTTTTTCCCCATAAAATGCTTTTTAATTGCAAATAGTAACTTTGCAGAGCAAAAACCTGACAGACACTATTTTAACCAAGTGATCAAAATAAACATCACTGATAATGGGATAAATAATACCTAGTTCCTCCTGATAGGATAGATTGAGAAGAACTCTGTCATTTCTGTGATATTCCTGACAAAAATCATAATCTGTATCAAAATATGAGGAAGTATCAGAGAAAAAGACAACTTGAGCAACGCTTTACAAAATACTTCTTCCAGAGTGGAAAGGGAAAGAAAACCAAGTACAAGAAGGGAAATAAAAATTAATTTTAACATTAAGAGAGAAAGGAAATGAAAGTGTAAAAATTAAAATAGAAAACAAAAATAATAGTGAAAATCAATGAAATAAAAAGCTGTCTTAAAAAAATAAAATTGATAAACAAGACAAAGATTCCCACTTTTACCACTTCTATTCAACATTGTACAGGAAGTCCTAGTCAGAGCAGTTAGGCAAGAGAAAGAAAGAAATGACATTTAAATAGAAAGAAAGAAATTTATTCTTGCTTGCAGATATTATCTTATAGTTAGAAAAACCTAAAAGCTTCACTAAAAAACTGTTTGAACTAATAAACAAATGCAGTAAATTTGCAGGATACAAAATCAATACACAAAAATCAGTAGCATTTCTTTTTTTTTTTTTTAGTTGGAGTTTCGCTCTTGTTTCCCAGGCTGGAATGCAATGGTGCAATCTTGGCTCACTGCAACTTCTGCCTCCTGGGTTCAGGCAATTCTCCTGCCTCAGCCTCCTGAGTAGCTGGGACTACAGGCATGCACCACCATGCCCAGCTAATTTTTTGTATTTTTAGTAGAGATGGGGTTTCACCATGTTGACCAGGATGGTCTCAATCTCTTGACCTTGTGATCATCAGTAGCATTTCTATATGCCAACAGCAAACAATCTAAAAAAAAAAAAAAAAAAAGGAAAGGAATTCTATTTACCATAGCTACAAAAAAAAAAAACCCTAGAAATTTACTTAATCAAAGAAGTGAAAGATCTCTACAATGAAAACTGTAAAACACTGATTCAAGAAATTGAAAAAGACATAACATGAAGGTATTCCATGTTCATGAATTAGAAGAATCAATATCGTTAAAATATCCATACTACCCAACGCAATCTACAGATTCAATGCAATTTCTATAATATCAATAATATTCTTCACAGAAATAAGAATTACAATCCTATAGAATACAATCTATAGAAATAGAAAATCACAAAAGGCCCAGAATAGACAAAGCTATCCTGAACAAAAAGAACAAAGCTGAAGGCATTCCATTAGTTGGCTTCAAATTATATTTCAAAGCTATAGTAACCAAAACAGCATGGTACTGGCATAAAATCAGACATGTCGACCAACGGTACAGAATAGAGAATCCAGAAATAAATCCTCCATTTACAGTTAATTCATTTTCAAAAAAAAGGTACAAAAAATATACATCATGGAAAAGACAGTCTCTTCAGCAAATGATGCTAGGAAAACTCAATATCCATATGCGAAAGAATCAAATGAGACCCCTGTCTCTCCTCATATACAAAAATCAAATTAAAATAGATTAAATACTTAAATCTAAGATCTGAAATTGTAAAACTACTAGAAGAAAGCATTGAGGAAATGCTTTAGGACATTAAGGGAAGTGAAGATTTCTTGAATAAGAGCTCAAAAGCACAGGCAATGAAAGCTGAAATGGACAAGCAGGATCACATAAAGCTAAAAAGCTTCTGCACAGCAAAGGAAACAATCAACAAAATGAAAAGACAACCCACGGAATGGGAGAAAATATTTGCAAACTATTCCACTGACAAGATTAATAACCTGACTACGTAAGGAACTCTAACAACTAAATAGCAAAAATCAAATAACTGGATTTAAAAAATGGGCAAGAGATCTGAATAGATAATTCTCAAGGGAAGACATACAAATGGTCAATAGATATCTGAAAAGTGCTCAACATCAATAATTATCATGGAAATGCAAATCAAAATCACAATGAGATATCATCTTACCCCAGTTTAAATGGCTTTCATCAAAAAGACAAAAAATAAAGGATACTGGCAATGATGCAGAGAAAGGAATGCTGATTTACTGTTGGTGAGAATGTAAATTAGTACAGCTATTTATGGAAATCAGTATAGAGGTTCAGCATGGAAAAAAAATAAAAAATAGAACTACCATATGATCCAGCAATGCCACTACTGGGAATATATTCAAAAGAAAGAAAATCAGCATATCAGAGAGACATCGGCCCTCCCATGTTTATTGCAGCACTACTCACAATAGCCAAGATAAAGAATCAACCTAAGTGTCCATCAACAGGTGAATGGATAAAGAAAATGTAGCACACATACACAATAGAATATTATTCAGCCATAAAAATGAATGACATCCTGTCATTTGCAACAACATGGATGATACTGAAGGTCATTGTGTTAAATGAAATAAACCAGGGACAGAAAAAAAAATTGCATGTTCTTGCCCATATGTCAAAGCTAAAAAAAATGATCTAATGGAGGTAGACAGTAGAATGATAGTCACCAGAGGCTGGGAAGGGTACTGGGGAGGGATGACAAAGAGAGATTGTTCAATGAATACAAAAATACGGTTAGATAGAAGGAATAAGATGTAGAGTTCAGTAGCACAATAGGGAAAATAATTTATTGTATATTTAAAAATAACTAGAGGAGTGGATTTGGAATATTCCCAACACAAAGAAATGATAAATGTTTGAGGTGATGGATATACCAATGACCCTGCTTTGGTAATTATACATTGTGTGCTTGCATCAAAATATGATATGTACACCACAAATATGTACAACTATTATGTATCCATAAAAATTAAAACATTTTTAAAAGAAATAGTTCTTATTAAAAATATCACTGAGATTATTTTTCCACTATAAATTATGTTTCAAAGAACTCAACACAATAAGAACATTCAAAACCCATTTGCAACTTCTGTGGAGGTTTTATCTCTAACCCTCTCTCATTTATTTTATCATACTTTTCCAGCTTTAAAACATATTTCTTTTAGATGTCCTGGGATAAAAAAGGTGGAGGTCATATACCCATTATGCTTTATACTTAATAAATTCAAATAGAATCAACTGCTAGTCATTTTCTTTTATACCTAATGCTTTTACATTTACAAAATTATTAGATCAAGGCAAAGGATTCTATAAAGTAGGGAGTGATTCCCCAAGTTAGGCTGTGTATCAGTGTCACTTCTTCAGACATATAGATGCCTGGCATAAAAGTTGATCATATGAATTGGGTCATTTTTATAATAATGCTGCTAAAACAGAGTCCATTGGCCAGAGGGAGAAGGCACTCAGGACACATAATATTGATCAAAGAATGCAATTCTATACAAACCTGCTTGCTGAAACTGCCTCTGTAAACTGAAATTAGCTTTATCTAATTACTGAAACAACCTACTGTGACACTAACACTAGTTTTATCCAAGTCTGTCACTCTCCGATTAGAAGTTGCCAGCTCCCCCAAACCTTACTAGTGCCAATAAACTTTCTTACAAAATAATATGCAACATTTATCTTTTTTTATGAAACCTCTAACCTTTTTGTTTTACAGACATACCATGGACCACCCAGTTTTTGTGTATGCCCCAAATTCTAAGTCTTGCTTCCCAAATAAAACATTTTAAATTTAGAGATTCATCTCTAGTTTTATTTGACTTTGACAGTAGTCATACATCCAAATCACCTGAGTTAGATTTTCCAGCAGGAAAAATAAAACCCATAATTTGTAAAAGATCACAGATGACTCACATATAGCCAAGTGTGAGAACCACTGTTTCAGACACGAGTATATGGACAGATTAGTAGCTGTTTACATGTAATGAGTATAGAATGAATAGCTGTTTAAATGAGTAGAATGTTTTCATGTCTTCTGTTAAAGTCTGAAATGTTCTGGTAGATATACCAGAGATCTACCTACTCTAATTTCTGGATACAAGATGCTGAATTACAATAAATCAATATTTATGATGTCACTGTAATTGAGTTTGAAATCTAATTAACTTTATATTTTTATGTTTTATCAAACATTTGCAAGTCTATTTTTAGCATTAAATGCTCCTGGCTCGGTGATACGGAGTATCAAGTAAAGCCCAATAATAATTTGAATAAATATATTGTCACTTTTATTGAAGTGACAATATATTCACTAAAATTTTAATCTTATGAGTTTGCTTAGAATCTTTGTTTGTTTTTGTTTTGTTTTGTTTTTTG